TCCAGCTCTACACCTTGTTATCTCTGTAATAAATGCAACCTGTTTTGGTCCAGTTGCTGCCAAGGTTTGACTAATTTTACTTTCTGGAGACTGAATAGTTTGGATATCAGTAATATGAACTAATGCAGCCATTGTTGATCTCCCTTTTCTGCAAGAGTAGAATTTGCATAAAGCATTTGCTCCTTTATGAATGGCATGCAAACAATCATTAGCATCTTAATCGTTTTACAATTCTATTGGCTGACCAGAGTGAAACTTGACAGACTGTTAGCTTCAACTGTTCACCATTTGACTTAAAGGAGAAACCAAACCAATTGGCTTTTTGTATCATTGTTGCTGCCATGTTGTGCCCCTGTTCCCATAACTTGGCAGATTATAATTTGTTGACTTTGGTGACAATTCTTTTTGATAATTTAAAGTTAATGGCAGACTTGCCTCTTATTGGCTTTTAGTCTAGAAAATAATTGCAGAAATGCAGCAAATGTATTCTAATTCACTGGTGGAGTATTCTGTGCAATTTCAGTAGCAAAAGCTTTTGTTTTGTTCCATGACTGAAATGGGTGCCATTTCTACTTATTGGCTGCCGGCATCTATATCAACTAGAGCACAGCAAATTGTGTAATACAGGTGAATTATTTACTCCATTGCTTTCAATTTTTCTCACCACCCTGTAGTTTTTACATCCCAGTCATAAAATGTTATGTCTGCAGATGCCAACAATCCTTGTGGATACTGGTTTTGTATCCACAGACTGATGAGAAATGTCAGCACTGTTCTATTCTATTCACATGTTTGACTTAATTAAAATTCTTGCCTATTAATTGTTAGTACAGGTGCTCAGTTCCTGTGTGGTCTGACACAATCCAGCAATGTGGCTCCACATGAGTCACTGCTGTGATTCAAGTGGTCCCATGAGACATCACAGAGTGCTGATAGTAAAGGCAAGGTCATAGGACAAGCCAAGGCTTCTTGCTAACTGTCAGTGACAAAAAAAAGTAATCCTGTCGGGGTATTCAAATGGTGAAAATAAACTTTCCTTGTGGTGTGGGTATCCTGTATGAATGCTAACATTGGACTATCACTTTAAATTCACTGACAGGCATCCAGTCTGTCTGTCTGTTCTAGCGGAGTGGACAACACTTAAAAGGAATCCCTGGGTGCCCTGAGGAACATTTATGATTCACGCATGTAAGGTGTAGCTGCACTTCCATATACACTAGGCTAAGTGTAGGCAGCAGTTTTTCTTAAGTATTTTCTGGAAGTGAAATTGTTGTACCGGGTGGCTCATCACCTTCTCGAGGGCAGCTACAGAGGGGTAACAAACGCTGTTTGTCCTTGCCAACAAGGCTTGGATAGCCATGAATTAATTCATAGAAAACTGACCAACATCACTGAATTAAAGGCAATGCAAATTGCAGAAGAACAAACAACTTGTACATGCAACTCAGAAGCAGAGCAGATTTTAAAAAGTTGACTGCATTTGTGAAAGGAAAGGATCAAAGCAAGAATTACAGGGCGTCATCTGATTGAGGCATCAGAACATATTTAAAATTTGCACACAGTATTGTGTGTGCATGAGCCCAATAAAGGAAAATGTCAAATATGATTTCTTCTGTTGTTCTAATGACCTTGGAATGCAACATCCCTCACATTCTTCTATGGATGTTGCAGCATCACAGAGGACTTCTCTCAACATATGATCTGCTCAAGTCCAGATGAATTCCATTTGATGTTGGTAACTTCATCCCATTCATTTTGAAGTATACATCTCTTCATTCTCCAAGAGAGTTACCACACTGAAGAAAATGCCGTGTCATTTGTTTATAAGACCTTCATTCCTTTCATCGTGTGAATTATGCAGTGTCATAATTCCCAATTTGCGCTGCGTTTTTTTTCCCATTGCAATGCCTCTCATGTTCCAGAAAAAGTTCTTTCAACTTTGGGCTGTGCAGGGGTGGCCAAGGAGACTTTGTAATTTGTGCAATTTTTCCTGTTTCCTGAATGAAGGAACTATATCAGTGAAAGTGAAAAGCATGTTATGGAGAGTTCACAACCAATTTCGCCTTCAGAGTTTATGCCCGAGTCTTTGTCAGCTGGACTCAATGTAGACTTCTGTCTCTTCTGTGCTACCTTATCTTCTGGAAGGAGTACCAATGTGGGAGCAACACCCATTTCCATTTAGTGTGCTGCCAACGTTTTCTCTTGACGAGGAACTGACTTGCATATAAATAATGTGGATCTGCTTTCAGTTAATGCTGCCACTCCCTGATCTTTTTGTATCTTAAAACATCGCCTGACCTGTCTTTCTCTACCTGTTTGTCTTTCATCCATTGTACAGTTGTTTTCCACAATATCTTGCTGCAAACGCTGCTCTTTGAGGCCTATCCTCATCCCTCTGTCAGTCTCCCTGATCTTCTGTCCCTTAGTTTTTCACCTTCTGGATCTGAATCAGTTAGCCTATATTTAGCCCTGTCCTTGTCTTGCGGTGCCTCCTCTCTTTCCTTTATGGACTCCTAATTTTTAACATTATTGATCTACATAAAATATTTAAAGCTGCCATAATTCCAGAGAACCAAAGGGCTGCTCCCTCAGAGAGGCAATTTGCTGTGGCTTAACCTGAGGATGACCCCACCTCAGGCAAGGGGCAAAGTGGAGAAGGCAAGACATTCATGGTGACCTCACCTGGTGTGGGAATTAAACCCACGCTGTTAGTGTCAGTCTGCATCCAGGCAACTGAGCTAACTGACCTACGTGCCTTACTGATGTCTTACACTCTCTTGCAGCTACTGATCTTCTGTTAGAGATCTATCCCTCTCACAGCTTCATTGTATCACTGTCTCCTTTCCTCCTTTGGCTTCTAATCATGTTGACATCTCTATCACTCAAACAGATCTCCCCTTTTAATGGTGGCTGAAACAAACACAGTGCCACAATGTGCATTGGAAGCTACAGTGTAAATGACAATTCAGAACATGTGCAAATGGATCACCTTGGCCAGACATGGGAGTAGAGCTGAGTTTTCTAAACTTGGACTACGATGGGAAAAGATGACACTGGGAGGTGGGATGGCTCTTTTTATTTTCTTCAAAACACATTGGTCTTTGGGTGGAAAAGTTCGCTGATCAAGTCATTCCCTGGTCTGCTATCTGGGAGCTTATAGCAAGAGGAAAAGTGTCTGTCGAGTGGTTATATTGAAAGACAAGATCAGATTGAGAGATTTTGAATGGTCAAATCGGGTCCGAGGTTTGGGAAGACTTTCGGTTTGACAAATTAAAATAAAAATAGCATGGCAGTAGTTACCCTGGGCAGCAGTTTCCATGAAGTGGAATCTCATTCTCATTTTCATGAGGCAGAGGAAAATGCAGCAAGTCAAATCATTACATAGAAAACTCCCTAAAATAGTCAGAAAGGAATAAACAGACTCTTAGTGAAGACATTTGAGAAATTAGCAAGGTCGGCTGTCTCCCTTTTGTGTTGTGAGGACTAAGTTGTAGGTATGGATAGCATAGCTTAGCTCATAGTAATAGTCTTCAGAGCATTCCTCTGGGACAAGCATTTATCGAGGATGTAAGATGTCATATGAGGCATGACTAAATCCTGGAGCAGGAAATAATTAAATGTTCTGGTATTAAATCAGCGCAGTTGCAAGACTCTTCTTTATAAAAAAATCTGTACAGAACATTCAGCAATTGTCTAATATTTTTGGTTATCTTTTCTCTTCCTCAGGATTGGGAGATAGTTGTCCTTGGGAAACTGAAGTGGGATCTCTCAGCCGTAACTCCAAATGATTTTATTGAACATATCCTGGGAAAGCTGGCTTTTCCAGTGGACAAGTTGGAGCTCGTTAAGAAACACACTCAAACATTCATTGCCATGTGTGCAACAGGTATTTACTGTTTCACCTTTTTTTAAATAAAAATAAAGGAAATTTACTTCATAAATACAGAGGTTGACAGCTACTTGTCATTTAAGAGCAGAACCAATTAATTGTTAGGGGAGGTTATTTCCATGTTTGCATTGTGGACTAAAGTTGCAAATCCTCATAAGTTTGTTACACATTCTAAAATAGAATGACAAATTAACACTATTACTGGAAGGAGAAAAAGTGCTAACTCTGTATTGTACTTTGGCTGCATTATTAACCTGGGAGGATATCCACCATAGTGATAGTCATGCCATCTCTAGCAACCGTGTCTTTTTCCAATTCCCTTCCTAATCTTTGCATGAAGTAATTGTAAAGGTGCTCACAGGAGCAAAACTGCTGTGTAGTTTCCAGACTTCCCTTAAGTTGATGTTGGCTTTAATGTATAGGAGATGTGAGAGCAGATAGACACCATACTGCCTGAAGACCTTGTACAGTCGAGAGCGTTGAGCAGTCAACCTTTGCTGATTTCCATCATCAGCTTCTGGGAAATGTGTAAAAATGGCTTGGAATAACTTGCTCCTTTCCCTTCCATGCAACAAAAGCATGTTCTCTGTAATTAGCCCAGTTTCCTTCTCCCCAGTAATCTAGTTGAATTTTACCACGTAGCACTTCTTTCTGTGCTCTACCATACATACGTGGGGATGCAGCCAGTTAAAGCTTGTTTGAGCAATCACAAGCCATTAATTACAGACTATATTTGACAGGAAGTCAAATTTTAACTTCGTTTGTTACTGGTGTGGACTGTACAACACATAATTTAACACATTCCAAATACAGACGCAGACGCAAACTCAACCTCCACCCAACCCTGTCCCTGCAATTTGTAAATGATTCCACTTTGCCTTTGTCTCTCCTCAGTAAGGGAAATGGAACTTTTTTTTAAAGAATGAAGCCCAAGCAATATAGGGATTTGGTGGACCCCACATAAGTCAGACTGAGGAAGCGAAATCCTGTATTTAGATGGTGGCAATACGTTTTCAATTTCAGGAAGTGCTTAAGCAGTAATAACTTCTGAAATGGAGTCTTTGCAACTTAGTTCACTTTGAGCTCAGCTGATTGGGTTTAAGCCCTGATGTCAGAGCGGGACACAGTCTTGTTTGACATGATAGTGTCACTGTGAAAGATGAAGATGTACAGATATTGAACTCTGGGCTTGTCTTCCAGTTCCAGTGGATGTCAGGGATCCTATGAAAATGTTTGAAAAGAGTGGCCGTGTTCTGGGCACTGCTCTCATTTTTATCTCTGAAATTTTGCTATCTGTACAATGTAAGTTGAAGATACACAAATGTTTGTGGAATAACTACAGGTCGAGGCTTGTAGCTCCATTACTTTAATGAGGCAAGTCGGGTTTTAGAAAATTGTACAATTTTCTTGTGTATCTGTTTCAGATTTTAATTTTGCCATGTATCCACCTTCGATGATAGCAACAGGAAGCATTTCAGCGGCAATCCGTGGGCTTGGCATCCCATGCCATACCCTTTCAGACGAGTCTTTGACAGAGCTGCTGGCCAAGATCACCTGCACAGAACTGGTGAGTTTGGAGCAGAGTATCGTAAGAGATGCAGAACTAATGAATTAATAGACCATCTAGTTTTCTGTAGACCCATGAGCTGAGTGAAGGAAGTAGGAGTAACTTGTCAACAAATATCATACTTTCCTATTTTCTTGTTTAAAAAAAAACTCGCTGCCTTCAAGTTTGATGGTAATCCAGGTAATAGTTTATCAAACTCTTACAGTTACGTGAAGGAAATTGTAGGTGATATTCCAAACCTGCTCATTGCTGGATGCTGTGCTTGTTATTTAAAGTATTGAGGGTAACAAATCAAGGCACTCTTTTCCAACCCCACCCCCTGAAATAAACTGTTGCAGAACAGACATCAAAGTATTGCCTTTTTCAAAATAATTTGCATTTATATAGTACCTTCTTAATTTATTAAAACATCTCATGGTCCGATCCTTCCACATTACCAAATACATTTGGATACTTGAGCCATGTGAAGATAGTAGGATAAGTGACTAACAACTTGGCCGAAGTGTTATGTTGTAAGGAGAATAATAATGGTGATTAATATCTGTGCTTAAGTTAATCATACTTTGTGGTTTCCCTTTTCTGTTAAGTGAAAACCTTATTTCCCAATTTGTTAAATTCCTCCATAATTCACATTGAACATTAATTTTCCAGTTGTTACCTTACCTGAGATGAGTTTAAGTATTAGAGCAGGAACAGTCACTTGCAGGTGGTACTTTTTGAATCATTATACACAGTGCTTTTGATTTATATCTGGAAAACTGGCTGAGCCAATTCCTTCTGGAACATTTTATGTTGACAGTAACCATGTAAGCACTTCGCTTGTGAGTTGTGTTTCAATTTTGTATATCAGTGGGGCCAGTTCTAAAGTTACATTTTGTGCCCTGCGTTCTCCTATCGAGAGTAAATTTTAGTGTCGACTGTTGATCCTATTTACAGTAGCATTCTTCTCATCAGCAAAGTCCCACTAAAAGCATGGTGATGCTGACCAAATAACTGACAGTATTAATTGAGGCATAATGCTTGTCATTGCTCCTTGAATAATCTCATGGAACCCTTTTTATGTCTATCTGAGAGATCAGATGGTGGCTTTAGTTTGGCACCTCATCCAGAAGACCGTATTTTCAGTAGTACAGCATTCCCTCAGTGTTACATTCGAACATCGGCCTTTGTTTTGCGCTCATGGCTCCATACTGACACTTTGAGTTGCTTGGTTAGTGTAGTTGACGAGGGTCTTTTAAAGTTTATGCAGATCAGTCTCCGAGAACAACTTGGAATGTTGCACTGATGTACATTGCTGACAATTCAACGAAGCCTGAAAGGGAGTTCCCTTTCGACATCTGGAGTGCTCCGGTGAAATGTTTGCTGAAAGGGTTGGTGTTACCAGATTTGAATCATGAACCAGTTCACAAGATGAAATGCCTTCGTAAAATGCCTGCCAATTTTGTGTAAGAGCAATTTGCACAATAAGTCGCCATGTATTCGGTGATGTTTGGGATATTGCAACTGATCAGCGTTATAGGTTATTGAGGCAGAGCTCCATTAGAACATCAGTTTTGGCAGAGTGAGTTGTTAAATCAAAGATTTATGAATCGATGGATGTCTTTTGTCCTTTGTTTGGCTGGGCTGGCTGTTTTAATGTTGGGGTCCATTCCATCGGTGTTGCCAATCCATTGTTGCAAGTGTTCCCAGAGCCCTTGTAGATCCTGTAATATTAGAGGGTGTCCTCACTAATAACATGCTTACCTGAGGCACATGTACCTGCTCAACACTGGATGCCGGGTAACAATCCCGACTTTCGGATTCTGAGCCATTCCTGTCCGCAAACCGCCCCCCACTCCTTCGTTCTGCAGAAACCCGTTTATGACCTGTTCCTAGAGCCCAGCAAACTCAACGCGGGCTGCAGATTGATCTGGGAAGCTGCCTGTTCTGCATTAAACTCAGTCTCTCAGCATCTCTCTCAAGTGGTGCATTTACCCGCTAAGCCATTGGGGGAGGCATGTACCGGATATATCTAGCTATTCAGTGCCCTCCTCTGTGACATGCTTTGGAAATCAGATTGCCTCAGCAACAATTGCCTATTTAGTGATGCCTCATGCAAATTAGGATAAAGAAGAGGTCACTGTTACACTGTCAAGAGTGATGCGTTGCTTTGTTGCATAAAGAGTATCAGTCCTCGAATCCCATGGATGGGGGTAGTTTAAGTGCAAGTAAATAACTCCCTTCAGTATAGGAAGCAATGAATATATATTCTCTGGATAAGTATATTTTGCACAGAAGTGTACTGATGCTGTTTTTCCATATCCTTTAAACTGGTTGCTTTTATTGCATCTCCCTTTGTGATTTATTTTATATAATAGAAGTGAACTAAGGGGCGGGGGGAGGAATGCGGGTGTCGATTGGGAAGGAATAAGAAATAGCCAAGCTGTTAGCTGGATAGGCTGTTCAGAGTCTAGTTTCCTGCCTCTCCTTTGATCCTGGTAATTGGAACCAATTATGGTGTGACTGGCCCCAAAGGCCCTTGTTCTGCTATTCATTCTGCAGCAGAAAGACTGGGATGAGTTTACTACAGTGTATTATTCTCGTTCTTTGATCTTGCTTTCTGTCAAGCACTCAATACTACTGCTCCGCAGCAGTGTTACCTGCACTCCAGCTGGCTTTATTTTTTTTTCCAAGAGTTGTTGTTCCCTTCGGTTTTCAACTGCTTTCCTCCTTGACAGCTGTTGAAGATAGAAAAAAAAGCTGCTCTTTGAGGGATGTGCCGCAGCATTGTGGATTGGAAATGCTGGAGCGAGTGGTGCATAATAGATGGCAATAGGTGAAAGGAATCTGGCTACTTCTAAAGTTACGACAACCACATAGATGCGGACAAAACCAATAGCATACATATTTGTACACTGCCTTGTGGGGCATTCTGGTTGAAAGAGAACAGATGGGAGGCTGCATTCATCTCTTTAGAGGAGTGTAGTATCTGACAAAATATCAAGGCGATTAACTAGTGTGGCTCTTCTTTCCTTCAAGTACAAAAGACTTACAAAAATTAAAACATATTACTGTAATAAGACTTCACCGTATGCTGTTGTACAATCCCTAAATCTGTATTAAAAGGACCTGGTGGTATGAATTAGTTCTGTATGAAAGACGTGCTTTGCATTTTTACAAAAAGCAGTTTTAGTTATTGTGGGTGCTTTCCTTTATTTAAGAAGAAGTGAATTTTTTTTATTCAATGGATATAATCATTGAGGATGTGGACTCTTTAACACTTAACTTTGTTGTATAACATTTAGGATTGGCAAATGCAATTACCAATGTTTCCATTGGTGCAGAAGGTGAGAATTCTTAGTAATGACGTAGTGGAGGTACTATTTTAGTTCACCACTTCCTCTGCAATTTGAACCTCGAAGCATTTCTTTTAAAATTCCTAGTGAGAATAGACCGCCCTCATTTTTTTTTTCAAAAATGTCACACTAGTGAGACAAAAGTGTACTCCACTTTAATCATTCTAAATTGTTACTACAGCAACACAGCGCTTGACTACAGTCCCAAGTCTGTCCATACAAGTTTCTACATTGTATGTTGGGCTTTCTATTTGTTATCGACCAGATCAAACCCCCTTGGGACTCAATACACCTCTTAAACCCATAGTATCGTCACATCTTTCCCTTTGCCTTTTAGAATGGCCGCCAGGTGATTGGGCTTGGAATGTTTCTTCTAGAATGATACACCTTTCAAAGCCCTTGCTTTCCTTGGGGAGTGAAGGAGGAGGGTCAGTTATCGGGCTCCAGTGAGCACTTGACGATTGCTATGTGAAGATATCACGCTTCACGTTATGTTGGAAAATTATGTTGGTGATGAACCTGCACCTTACCATTGCCTTATCCACAGTGGAGTGGTTAACTGTATTTAAAGCTGCCTTAAAGGCTAAAGAGAGAACTCAACAAAATGCATTAGCAGCTCAAAGACTGGAAAATGGGTAGCCCTAGATCTGAGTTTTTTTTGTGCGCACATCAAGAAATTTTCTTTGCTTTAGAGTAAAATTGGTTATGGTTATTTTTTGTAACTGAGTCTGGACAATTTAAATTGCAGGTGAATGTTCTATTTACACACAAGTTTCTGCTGGTTTATACAAGGTGGAAAAACTTCATTCTCTACTCTGGAATGCCCCACCTTTACTGTTCGATGCTTAATGGAATAACTGAAAGTTAAGAGTCCATTGTTAGTAATTGAAAGTAGTGTATGGTTAGCCTGTCTTGCATAAAAGCAGTGCTATGCCAAAGATCATATGTTCCACGTTAACACTTCTGCATCCATTTTATCAGAGATGCCACCCATTTCTGGGTTGAGTGTGCCGTTTCAGGGGCAGCTGAGCTTTGGTCCAATCGTTTTTTGATGAAAATCTCATTACTGCTATTGCTTGTTTTGGTCTAGCATGAAAATTAGCTTCACCAGTCTCCATCTAGTTCTTGACACTTAGGACGGATCCCTAAGTGCAGTTCCACAAATTAACACAACATTGGTTATCCCAATAATGGAGACCACACAAACGGTTAAAATGTCGAAAGGAACTGCGATTCTGACATGGTCTGAAGCTGGCAATGGAGCACAGCATCAAAGGATCCAGTGAATAAGCTTTGGGGCGAATTGGAAGTGCCTCATTTTAAAACCTTTAGAATGGCCACAGCACAGGAGGAGGTCATTTAATCAATTGTATCCAGTTTGACTCTGCATGAGCAACCCACCTAATCCCACTCGCCTGCCTTTTCTCTGTTGTCCTGCAAATTTTTTCTCTCAAAGATAATTTGGCAATTTCCTTTTGAAAGCCCTGTTTGAATCTGCCTCCGCTGTGCACTCGGGCAGTGCATTCCAGATCCAAACCACTCTGTAAGAGGCAATTCTGTCATGTCAATGTTGCTTTATTTGACAAATTGGCATCTTCTGGTATTTGATCCCACCACAATAGAAACCATTTCTTCTGATTACGCTGTTCAGACTCCTCATGATTTTGAACACTCTGCACTCCTGATTTGAGAATCTTTCCTCGTGGAATTAAAGCCCCAATTATTGTCCTTTGTTTTATTAAGGTGTATTCAGTTTATCTTGAGCTTTTAATAATGATATGTTTGCACTTCAGTACATTGTACTAATAATGAATTATAGAGCTCTGTTGGGACTGGAACACAATGTTCCCTTGTTGTTTGCAAGAATGTTGCCTGCTGCATTGTAAAGTGACTATTACTCCTCCCTTGGGTCAACTCCGAGTTCGGGTAATGGAGTTGTTCCACTGGTAGAGGGGAATGTATATTGTTAGAGGACCCACACCGTATTAGAGCGGTGAGGCAAAAGGGCCCCTTTGTCAAATTTAAATTGACAATCTTTTACAGAGGTGAGGTTTGTGGTGCAGTATGTCAGCTGGTCCTATTAATAAAAGACTTGCCTTTCTAGTTTCTCTTAAGTATTCAGTTATTCAGTTATTCGCTCCTTGACTGTCACCTAGGGAAGGGAATTTCCATGTGATTGGAAATAAGTGTTCCTCTGCATTAAGAAAGACCTCCATTCTGGATCTCTGCACTGTCTGAATTTGGCATGTTAACTGAAGTTGGCCCTGATGTATACCTCCTCACCTTCAGAAGCCCAGAGCAGAAATTGAGGATTGCGCTGTTCCACCCTTTTCCACCTGCGTCAGCTAAAACTGTGTATCTAAATTTCCAATATAAACTTGCCGTGAAGAGAAGTGCAAGGTTTGAATATTATCCCTTGGGCTCCACCTCATAGGCACAAATAAATATCCAAGAATAAAGTCTTAAGGAGTTAAAGCAGCAAATGAGCAGAATCTATACAACAGATCCCATCTGTAGATTTCCACTTGTAGTGATTGTGCAGTTTAGTTGTGTAAATTTGACACTCAGATGTGCAAAATCTCTACAGTAGCAGTTGTGAAGGAACTACATGTACACATTGTTCACCTAGTTTGTATGCTGGCTGAGTTAACTCGAGAGTTTAAACTTGTTCAGTGACCACTGTAGCCACCTACTCCTAGCTTAAAAGGTCACCTACTTTTGTTATGTATGCTCCTGCACAATGATATGGTTCACAGCACTGTAGTGTACTGAAACTGGGGAAATTTGGTTGATTTCTCAGACTAATTCAGTAACCTTTGCTGGGAATATGTTTCTGTAGTTGGTAAATGCACTGCCTTTGAGAAATCAAAACACTCACCAAATTATTGAGTGACTTGCTTGCAAGCTGCTGTCGAACGTACGTGGGAACCAAATGGGGAAATTTGTGGTTAGGCACATCACTCTCTAGAATCAGCAAAAGCTGATACTCCTTCTGTTATATAGGTTTAGATTGTTCTGTTTAACTCTTAATTGAATACCATCCTCCTCTATAGAGTGGAGTGTGGGAGAGACACGACAATAACTAATTTTAAGAGTGGACTTTTTATAGAAAAATGTCCCCGGGAACTTCACAGGAACATTTTGAACAAATCTGTTATTGGAGATGATGAAAAGCTTGGCTTAAAAAAAGCAGTTTTTTAAAAAGTATCCTAAAGGAGGCGCGAAAGAGATTTAGGAAGGGCATTTATGAGCTAAGACTCAGAAGGTGCTGAAGATAAAGCCAACAATGACGGAGAAAAGGATTGGAAGTATGCACAAAAAACTAGATTTGGAGGAGCACTAAATTCTTGGAAGGCGATTGGGCTGCAAAGGTTAGAGAAGGTGAGGCCATTGGAAGATTTGAACACTAGGTTTACCAGGATGGAAGGGTCTTTTGTGGGATGAAGGTGTCAGATCTGAGAGAGGAGAAGCCTTTTACAATGCCAGCTGACCTGTCCAAGGTGGATGTTCATTTGTAGGGTCCAGGTCAAAAAAAAAAGGTGAATGAAGAAATGGGAAACTGTCCTTGATCATGTTTCAAAGACCTGTGTCGTGAAGGCTTCAGTGCCACTATAGGGTTGACATGTATTTAATCCAGACAGAATACTTTGACCCCAAATTTTTTTTTTCTTTGTTCACTCCGCTTGACCGCATGCTCGTGGATGAAACTATTGCATCCAATGAGAATCAAGGCTCATTCCTCATTTAAGGGGTGAGATGATTTGCACATGTGGAGTGCAAGTATAAGGAAAATTTTAGATAAACCCTGCTCTTGCATGAAGGACAAGGGGCAGTGCAAGTGAAACTTAACTAGGATAGTAATCTGTTCTTCTGTTCTACTCTCAACTTGTGTTCTATCATCATGGGGGTGCTCATCCATCTCAGCTTCTCCCAGTGAAGAACACAATGTCATTATTAAGATCACACCTGAAGCATGAATTGCCTGCTTTAAGTGTTTACATTATCAGTAGTTTTCATTGCACTTCAAGTATTCCCGATTTGTCTAATTTTAAACACTGGCATTGCAGCCAGACCTGAGGTGTTAGCAATTTGTCGACTGAGGTTCAATTCTGAACTGGATTTTTCTGTTTGCACAGTGTGTTTTGGAGCACCTTAGTCTGTGTGAAGTGGGCAATCAAATCTAGTTACACATTGTCTCACTTCAAAGATAAAATGTAAATTGATTTTGAATAATTTTATAACGGTGAAATTTCAGTTTGATTTTGGGATTTCTAATTTATTATTGGGACTGGGCAATACACTAATTTTAGATACTTGCCCTTTCAATCAGTCGTGAAAAGACTAAATGCTGCTGTAAGTACCATGGCAACATCTTAATGAGAAGAAAGTCTTGCACTTAAGTAGCAATTTTCCCACCGTCAGGATATCCTAAAGAGCCTTCGGCCTTTTCCAAAAATATATTTTATTCATAAAATTTACAAACAAAAATGTTACAAAGGCATTTCAACTTGAAAACTGCAGTATTTGCAGTAAATCCAACATGTTCCACTCTATTCAATTGTAACTGTCTTAATATTTACAAAGTACATTCCATGTCAGATATTCAACCTGAGGGCAAAACATTTCACGTTGGAATTGAATGTCATATATATGGAGTTCTTCATTTAACATGTTGCACTCTGTGGTGCCCACTTTCAGTACTTCGATTTATAACGCTCTTTTTGTAAGGCTAACTGCCTGAGGGGTTCTATAATTTCTAGTCCCTCCGTCTACTACGGCCAAAATGTTTTAGGCAGCAACCTTGCTGCCATCTTTGCGGAAACGACCCCAAGATTTAGTGTGTTCATCAGCACACAGTTGCAGAACTTTGGAATGTGCTAATCTGAACATCTGTCAAGGACAGCTCCTTGTGTTAGAAAATCAGTAAGTTTTGGGCAGACCAAAGAACGTCTTTCATCAAATTGATGGTCCTCCGGGGGTAATTGGTTTGGCTCTGTGTGCATCCGTGTGAATAGCTACAGAGCACAAAACACTGTGTCAGAGTCTGTCAGGATGCACCTTGACAAGAAGCACTGCATCTCTCTCCACGCCTTTGCAAGGGCATGTTTCACAAGGAGGTGGACAACAACCTCTTTACAGCCAGTGAAATACTCTTGAAATGTTGTTACTGTTGTAATGTAGCAAACTTTACAGATAAATAAAAAGCATTTTTTTGAGAAGATTTGTACTTCGGGTTGTAGGTGAGGTGGTAGATTTGCCCGCCGAGCTGGTGTGTTTGGTTGCAAACGTTTCATCACCCTGCTAGGTAATGTCGTCACTGCGCCTCCGGTGAAGCGTTGGTGTTCCGTCCCACTTGTTATTTATATGCCTTGGTTTGCTGGGATGGCTGGTATTACTTCCAGTTCTGTGTTTCAGAATTGTATATCCCAATCTGGGACAACACATCCATAATAACACGAGCTAAAAAGAGACATGCCAGGGAATTCCTGGAGGCCTGGCATTCCAACTGGAACTCCATCAACAAACACATTGAAACATACAAACCACTGAAAAACGGAATCAGAAGTAATGTCAACCACCCCAGCAAACCGAGACATATAAATAACAAGTGGGACAGAACACCAACGCTTCACTGGGGGCGCACGGACGATGTTACCTAGCAGGGTGACGAAACGTCTGCAACCAAACCCACCGGCTTGGCAAGCAAGTCTACAACCTCAAATAAAAGCAAAATACTGTGAATTCTGGAAATCTGAAATAAAAGCAAAAAGTGCTGGAGAAACTCAGCAGGTCTGGCAGTATCTGTAGAGAGAAGCTGAGTTAACGTTCCAAGTCTAGTATGACCGTTCAGACCTGTTCCAAAAAAAATGTCATGCTGGAATTGACACATTAACTCATTCTCCACAGGTGCTGCCAGACTTTGTTTCTCTAGCACTTTTGTTTTCATTTCAAACTTTACAGTCAGTGTGTGCACAGAAAACACCCACAAAACAATGTGATGATGACCAAGTTGATGCGTTCAGTAATGTTAGTCAAGGGATAGATATTAGAAGGGCACATTGAAGGAACTAGTCTATTAGTCTGTCACCTTGCTCTCTCCAGCTCAGTGAGACTGATCTATCTCAGAGGTTTATTTTCTTTGATGTATGCATGATCTCATTTACCTGTTCATTTAATGTCACTGTTTTTTATACCAGGACTGCCTGAAGGCTTGCCAAGAACAGATTGAAGCCGCCCTGGCAGAGAGCTTAAAACAGTCTCAGCAACAGCAAGAGCAAAACATGCCCTCTAAAACTGTACATGAACCAGACCAAATCAGCACTCCTACAGACGTAAGGGATGTCAACCTGTGATCATCCACGTGCAGTTTGTGAGGAAACTGCAACTCCATCTAATGCTCTTTTAGTACTACTTAGTGCTATTTGATAGAAGAAAAGACATTCATTTATTGTATATACAAAAAAGACCCTAATTCTGTACATCATGTAGGGCGAAAACACTGAAAGGCACGCTTGAAATTACGTGAAACATAATGGTGATTATCATCTTGTGAAATTCTTCCACCCTACAGCTGAAGCCTTGATTGTGATTTGTTGACAAGCCAACATGAATATAGCTCCAAATTGAAAGGTTGGCAGATTATAATAAATATTCAGGGGTCTGGTTTCTAAATTTTATTTTTTAATGCCTTCCCAAAAACATCGCTCAAAGTGTGCAAGGTACTTGTTTTTAAAGTCATTATTTGACTTTTAACTTATTGGTACTAGTCACAAAGTTTGATAACATCCAGCATTTTTCTCTCTGTCTCTCTCTCTCTCTCTCTCAAACAAAAAGCAAAAGTTAATGGACATATGAAGATTGTCTCCTCTAAACTGGAGTTCATCTGTTGATTTTTTTTTAAAATGCTATTTTTATACCTGTTGCCTGAAAGAAAAAAGTAAAACTAACGTGGACTTTCATTTAATGAGGAGATCACTCAGCATCATTATCATTCACTATATTTAAATCAGTATTGGTATTTTGCTTAATGGAGACAATCTGATAAATGGGACATTTCAAGTTTATGTTGTAATGACCCATTTAACAGACTTTGACTGTTTTGCACAGTGTAGGAGAGAATTCTATAATATATAGATTAGCACACCTTATTTGTTCTATAGGAATCTCTCATTTGGGGCATTTTGCTTGACATTGTGATGTACCAGTTATCAGGCTTCAATTCTGCTTTGCACAGTGATGTACAAGGATCTAATTGTATATAATATATTTAAAATAGGGCTGTAACAGGAAACTAGATTTGTTTCTCCAAGTGGACATGAAATTGAGAACTGAGGCAATAGGGATAATGTTGGTTGAAATTCGTTATTCAAAATGTTTCTGCTGGAAGTTTTGAAACTGGTGCAGCCCTTATTTAAAAATATATATATTGTATATGCTTGCACGCATGCATATAAATGGAGTGCTGGTTTCTTGATAGTAGAATATGTACCAACTGCTTTATATCTAATGAAATATATTTAGTTACCTTTACACAACGTTACAGACATGAGAAATGTTGGTATATAAACAGCATCAGAGAGGGCTGTGAAGTCCTCTACAATCTTTACATAGCTTCTCAAAGTTTTACAGTTCAAATTTCATTTAAAATCTATTTTAAAACTTAATTATTGTAAAGATTACAGTAGACTTGTCAATATTGTTTTTGAAGCAGACCCACCCACATTATTATGGTAACATCATTTATGCTGAGTTATTAAAACATTAGCTTGACCGTGGTGTGCACATAGCCACAATTTTTTCTATGTAGATCAAGAATTGCTCAAAGTGCAATTTTTCATCTACAGTGATGTTATAGGAAATGTTAGTTGGGACAGAGATTATTTAGCCATTTGAAAATGGTAATATCAACCTGTGGCAAGCCCTCTATGAAGAGGAGAGCTGAGGATGAATGAGGAACTTAACGTTGTATATTACAGATTAATTGATGAAATTTGCTGAACCGCTCCCACAAGAATTGCCTGCATTCTAGTAAGTAAACAAAGCTATGATGCCGAATCATGAAAAGAACAAACTCTGCAAAGCCTCACGTGCTTAATGAGTAGACATTGGTCAGCTCATGGAGTTAATAATGTGCTTGACTATTCATGTAGATAAACGCACTAAATAGTATAGGCACAATTGCAGCATAGTGGCCAAAGGGTGTGTAGCAGCTAATTACCTGCAGTTCAGCTTTTAGTGATTTCTACCTTGTATAAGTATGTCAAGTGAAAGAAAAAGTACTGGTCAGCGCAAGTTGCATCAAGCCATTCTTGATGAAATTCCCCTCCTCATTTTGAAGGCAGTTGTATGCTTTGAGTATTTAGCTGTTTGCTGGGGATTATTGATGAGCAGGAGTGGGATGCAGTTCCACTGTACATCATTTATAGATAATTATTTCAATTTGTATATTAAAGCTAATTTGCATTTCCGATCATCAGAGGTACAGTACATAAAATTAATTTAGATGTGAGCATGTATGTGTGTAGCTGTATGAAAAAACACAAATCTAATAGGCCAGGATCAGTTGCTCAAGAATCGAGTCCCCTTGAAACAAAAATCTTTGGATTGTTTTTCATGACTGGTTACATTTAGGGAGCTGATAGTAGCATCATAGAATTTGGCAGCTAAAGGAGGCAGCCATTAGCCCAACAATTTGCATTTATTTGTAACCCCTTGGACAGAAAAATATCCAAAATCAATTCATATAAGTACAAGGTAAAATTGGGTTTGTGTAGCCTGCAGAAGAGCTGCCTACTGACTGCCATTTCCTTTTAAGTTTTTCTTCAAACGATTACCTAAATTGCTGTTCAAAATGTACTGATTCTGTTTCCATTATATATTTGTTGTTGGTAGAATTCTAAACAAACCTCTACAAAAAAAATCCTAACCTTTTCTATTTTGCAAACTAAGCTTTTAGCTTCTGCCCCCTTACTGACTTAGCAACTAGTGGAAATGTTTCTTTGTTTTATTGAACAACCTCCAGATTTGACCTTCGTGGCTATCCTTTCAACATCCTTTTTACTGTAGGGTGCCCAGAATGGACGCAATATGCACCAAGGAAATTGCCTCGGTGTTCTTAAGTGATATGAGATAGTGATGAGCAAGAATGGCATTTTTTAGTTTCATCTGATCTTTTCTACGCTAGTTTTAAGCCATGCCTTTGAGGTTTCTGGCCATTACCTACTGTAGTATCTTATCTGGAGGTATACTTTGACAATGCTGAACTCTACTTTAGAAAGCATATGATGCTTGGATAAAATGTTCCAGACTCAAAACATTTAAGTGTTTGTTAGTCATTGATCACAGTAATGATTTATATTTAATGATTTGGTGTCTTTTATTTTCCTAGTTCTGCTTTGTAATTACACATTCTTTGTTTGCTCAATTAGTAAAAGTTCTTGTTTGCCAATTTTTAATTGTGTTGAGTGCTGCAATATTTGCTCATCATGTAGGTGATCCGTAGTATCCCAAAAGAACGACAGAGGTTTTAACAGGAGAATTGAAGTACCTTCTTGCTTTTGTAGTAGTTACAACCAGATATTAAGTGAGAGTTTAAGGGCCTGTGTTACCATGGAAAATTATCTTTCAGCAGAAACTAGATTGTGTGAAATTGCTTATACTAACTATGACATGGTTGATTTAATCCACTTAGATTCTTAATTGTATCCCTTTAACTCCTTCATCCTCCACATTCCAAACAATCGGGTCTGTTATTCAAAGAGCAGGCAAATTAGGATGTTATATCTCTTCTGAATTATACTTGTATAATGTCCTGAGAATATTTCCTCCTGCTCCAAGCTGCATGTAAGGATGGAATTTTATTTCTATCCTGCTGATACTCCTGTTTTACATGAAACTTTTGCTTTTGAAAAAAGGTGCAGTCCCTTTAAGAGAACTATGTGCTGATAAACTTAAAAATTAATGTTGCCTCATTCCTCTGTAGGTGCCATCTATTGTTAGGTAATTGTTTCTTTAATGGGTTTTGCACCTGCTGCAGTGACAGCCAAAATGATGAGCCTGTCATTTCTTATCCTGTTGCATGCTGCTTCAGAAATTGTTTCAGATCCAAGTTGAATGGAAAATATGGTGTATTCTCTCCATGGCAGAGACGATAAGTTGCAGCCCTACATCAGCTACTTGGCAGCTCATTTTAAGTTGTTGATCTATGTTCAAATAACCTATGATTGGAAATATTAGATTTGTCAGCTTGCCAACATTAAGTTGCCACTCTTAACCAGTGCAGTCTGTTGCTTGCCTGGTTTGTGTATTTGGGTAGTACAGTGTGTGATTTATGAATGTGCTTGTGGCACTGGAACCTTTCCCCACTGACACCCGTCTCTGCTCAAGGTGTACTCAAACATTGCCCTTAAAGACGTGATATACACTAAGTGCAAATGTAATGTTGGCAAACTGTCTCAGAAACAGTAATGCATTTTAATCCCTCTGTTCTATGAAGATTGCGTATCTTCTTGGGGGGGGGGGGCGCAGTTAATCACTCATATTTTGATTAGCATTCGACATTAGTCAAAGCTATCAATTCTAGATAGATCAATGATCAAACAATAGTCCAGGTCTGCTTAGTAACATCTAAGTTTTCTGGTTTAAAATAAAAAAGTTTGCTGTCTAATTTGCTATGTGGAAGCTCTTCAGTAATTTTTGGACATTTTAACCATTATCTGGTTAATTTCTCAAGACAATTGACCAATCAGTTGCCCTGTTGGTTTGAAATTTAAACATAACTTGGTAGTTAGCTGCCAGTCATCATCTGACTGGTACATTCTCTATGACATTGCCTCTACCAATCAGGAGTCCACTTGCCAACCAGTCGGCACTTTCCTACAACATAAATGCCATTTTACCTTAATGTTAGTATTTATTTTGAATTACCCTGATCAGTGCAAAATGAAAAGGTTCAACAAAGCTTTTTTTTTCTCAGCAATGCTCAAATATTTGTGCCATACCAAACTTGTTAGACATAAATGATGAAATGCAAAGGGGACAAAGCTGATGGTTTCACAATTTCTGGGGCCCATGCAATTTCAGTTTTTTTAAAAAAATAAGTCATGTATTTCTTCACTTTTTCTTTCTTTTCGATTTGGAGCACTTTTAATATGTTATCTTTACTAGTTGCGTACATAATATATAGTTCTGTTTGTGAACTGGGTTGTCGGACATCGAAAAAAAAACTTGAAGCTGATTTAAAAAGTGGTAACTTAAGGAATCATATCAAAATTCAGCAACTAAAACAATCTCTGGCTCATGACATTGGTACCTGTGACCATGCCTGCAGGAGGCCAAGTTTGAACAATCTGAAACTTGCTATGTTAATAGGTTTGACAGAACAAGATTTTTTTTTTTTCCTTTTTTTTGCGCTGCTAAAAGGGCCAATGTTTTACATTTTTTTTTAGTTGTCGTTAATAAATCTTGCTGCTATGATTATTTTATATACAGGATTGTACAAACAACTGAAAGTATCTGTTGGTTCAAGAGACAGTGAAATGTCTATCTTGGTCTCTCAAGGATATAGTTTAAAACTATTAAAATTGCCATACTTAAATTATCAAATCTTTGAAAACCTGTTGTGTTTTCAAAATGGTGTTGAATGCTGCAGTAGTTTTCAGGAGAGGAAGATCAGTAGTGTTTGTACAGTAAGACCTTGAGATAGATCTATAATTATCTTTGGTGTTCTCAATATGGTAAATGTTGATATAACTCCCACATTTATTAATTATTGGTGAGAGGGCATATGGTCTGTATTGAACACAGTTTCTGATGTGCTGTTCCTTGCATATGTTTCAAGGTCCGAGATCAACTAGAACTAGTCCAGTTGGTTATGTATCATTGTCTTACGTGTTTTTTTTAAAGCCACAACTTTTTTTTGCTGCTTATGTTAAAAATCATAAAAGTGAAATGGAATTATAAGAATATTAATTCAAATACTTATGTAAATTTGACTTCATGCAGTTGCCTTTGCTATCTGCAGATGTTCCACTTCCAGTATCTCAGGTTACTAAACAGTTTCTATGGTACCCCACCTGCTCTTTGCGACTTTTTAAAGATCACAATTACATAATGCCATAAGGCTAAACATTGTCTAAAGCCCTTCCTTGGGGACAGGAATTGGTGCAGATGTTTTGTTGGTCAGGTAAACCATTAGTCTTATTCCTTGTGGGCATCTGTTTGGCATCATTTTGGTAGGATGTTTTTCCTCATTTGGAGCCACCAGTTTCATTACACATGTATGCTTTAGTATTAACATTTTTGTGAACTATCAAAAATATCCTGAACATATTACAGCAAGTGTTGCAAATGGTTTCTTTTAAGACTATAGAGTGAATTCCTACAACAGCATTATTTATAAAAGCATCGTTGTGTAAGATTAGGGAAGGTTACAATGCTTTGTAAGTGAAAACCGTTTGAGAGATAACTGGTCCAAAAATGACACCACCTTGACGAATGGTTGGATGGTTCTTAATACTGGAATTGTGTGTTTAAAAGTAGCATTCTCCAACCATTTCACTGACTCTTACATAAACCAAAAGCTTTGATTAATTGCTCTGGAATGACAATTGTTCAGAATTAATTTCTGTAACTCTGACTTGTCTTTCTGAACATTGAGAAAATAAATATTAGTGATTTGAACTGTTGGTTTTTGAAAATGCTTAAAGTCCGCTATAATATTTTCATGGATGCTAATGTGTCTGTTAGTCGTTGTGCATTATGTAGGTAAAACGTCTAGTTCATAAACCCTTCATTGATGGAACTGAACAAAATTAGTCGAGGGTTAAGGTACTGGTGGCAATAGGGTTATTTTAATAGCTTGCTTCTGCCGTATTACCCTCTGTGGGGAAAGATGACCAGTGTTCCTGTTCTCACTTGCTCCTGCTGAGAAGTGCCACATGCATTGGGTTGGGTAAGAATAGAATTGGGCTCAGCTGTGGCGTCCATCCCTTCATTAAATACTTTGCTAACACTTGTTGCCAAATTGTGCACATAAAAGGATAGATAGTTGGATAAGGCATAAGAGGGTGGTTGATACTTGTGGAAACCTGGTCCTTTGAGATTCAATGGCATAAAATTGAGGGTGGGGTTAGATTAAGTCTTAAAGAATATTCCCTTATTTTTGTTATCACTTTGTCATCCAATGAGCCAGCTGTAAAATTTGAGTTGTTTTAATTGAGTATTAACTGTGTAACTGTAATGAAACTTGAATAATCATCCGGTTTATTTTATTCTACCAAAAGAGGACACTGCATGTGCAATGCTTGCATTAAGTAGTATCTGGCATATTTTACGATTATTTCAGTGTGTAAACATCATTGCATATCATAATATTACTGCCATTTTATAAGTGCATTATCTGATTAGCATTAAGAAGTCTGTTTTGGGTATACATAGCAGAATATTTTGAGTCATGTCATTAAATAATATGGTCTAATTCTTATCAAAGTACCATGCAAGAGTAAATTACTTTTGTTTTTCCACTGCTTGTCAAAACTTGAAAGCACAAGAAACAGTGTGCCGAAATTGTTTTACAAGTTGTGACAAAAGGAAATTGTACAATAGTTAACAGGAGGACAATAATAATTATAGCTTCAAGTTATGGCAGTGAGTGCTTGAAAGTAGTTATGCCTGGAATTTAATCTGTGCCTATTGTGTATTCTTGAATATAAAGCTAGAAATTCAGTTCCCTCTTTATGATATGACCAGTAGGGATGGTCATCTTATCTGTGGATTGTATCTGCTTTTTAGCTTTTGCTCATGGCTGGTTTCCCTCCGAGCAGAGGAGTGGGTCTGACGACTATATGCAGCACCATACCAGTGCCTCCCTAATCATAGTCATTGTCTACCCATTGTTTGGCTGGCTTTCCCAGCACTGGGATATTTCACTAGTGACTTAACCGCTTAAATCCAAGATGGCAACAAAAGTGATATAGATGAAGCAGAAGACAAATTTACAGCTTGTGAGAGTCTTTCCAATAAAATTCCAGAGCTACAGAATTGAAGCAATAACTTATGAGAAAGGACAGAAACATATTTGTGGACACCAGACAAAAAAGTATGAATTTAGGTGCAGAGAAGTTTTGTGATACAAGAAAGTTGGATTTTTATAGAGTAACGTTTTTGTTTGTGTATTGACTTATTCTCCAAGTATACGTGGCCATCCTAATGTAAATGCCTTAAATGTGTTATAATCACTGCAGTAACTTCCTCTCCTTTGTAATCTTAAACACTTATTACAATCACATGTAAGTCTAGAAAGCTACAGCAAAAAACTTGATGAATTTAAGTAAGTTGCAGTTAAAGTCTGACAGTGGTTGTCCAACCAGTTCAGGAGATAAAAGAATGCATATATCAGTTCTATCTGCCTAGAGCAGCTTAGATGAGTTTAATTAATCTACCACCAAGCTGTTAGGTGGACATATGGCAGACCACAGATACGACCCTAACAACCTGCTACAAGAGAGCCTCCTTTAGCAGATCATAGAGTAACTTCTGCAACAATTATAAAGCAACTTAACCAGAATCACCATATTTATCATCTTGACTAAAGGAGGGTTTCTGTACGTAGCAGGATTGGGGCAAGCTAGAGCAGAAACAAAGTGTGAATATTTGAAATTTTCTTCTTTTAAAATAGTTTAATTATTACTTAAGATTATCTATGGGAAAATATACTCAGTAACTTTATGCAGGACTGAAGCATTAATATTACATTGACAGTGCCAGCCAACTGCATGATCAGGGCCTCTGCATTCAGCAGAAAAAAAGATGGTCTGCTGCATTAAGTGAAATTTGACTAGAGTTGGTTGTAATACCCATAGTAAATTGCCTGCTGACACTGGAGCATTTTTAATCGTACATTCCATAAATTGTGAAGTAGGCAGACTATCCTGTGACATTAGCCAATGAGCTAGGGTTTTTTGGTTGAGAAGGCAGGAAGTCAACTGTTGCCTCAGCCAACCAGCAGTTTGACTATGCACATTCCATTGCAAGGAGTCCATTGTTAAACCCATCTGAAAGTTTTCTTGTCAATCCACAACAGCTGCTGATCCCACCCTCAGATTTTAATTTGATTGGCTGCTTATCTGGCAAGGAGTGGGGTGGGGGCAGTTAAAATCACACCACCACAGGCACTCTGGGCTTTTAACATGAAATGTACACACTTCACGGAGGCTGACTACATATAGAATTATATTAAAATCTCCTTCAAGATCTTCAGTTGTTCTCTGCTCTGATGATGGTTTCTTATATATACTGTATTTAAGCTTAGAAGAGGTTTAGCGCAGCTCTACACATAAGCGTTAAGCAATGGAAAGAATAAATATTTTGGGGTATCATTTAAAAATTGCTGAATCTATGTTGCAAAATTGTTGATCTTAAGTCCTGTGTTGCAGCAGTGTCATTTCAAATATAAGATGTAGTTTTATTCTAATTGCCATTAGCCATCCTGAATGAGAAGTACATTGAGCACTGGGGGTTTGATGGACCATTACGTTATTGTCTCAAAATTTGATTTATGTATGTGTTTAGACTTTCTTCTTTACTGTGAAAGTTTTTTTTTAATAACTTTACCTGTTTGACTCCAAGTACAGCAACACTTGTGAACACTTCATTCTTGTGGCACTTTATATTTCTCATTCATTGCGTTGTTCAATGTATTTTCCCAGTGAATTAGGGCTCCATCATTGTTCATTACTCAAATGTTTGTTGCCGAACTATCTGAAGTGACAGCTTTATCTAACCTGGGTATTGAGCAGTGTGAGGACTTTCTTCTTAAGTAAATAGTTTAATGAAGGTCATTGAAGTGCCAAATAGTTTGAAATGCTTCCTCCTATTGCTGCTGATTCAGCAATGGAAACATTTCAGGAGGTAAAACAGAATTGAGAAAGGCTATCAAATTCATCAGACTATAAGAGAACACATTGGGTATGAACTCTTTAATTGCTAATTCTCCCACTTGTGTTTATAGCAATGGCGTGTAATGAAGACTTTAACTCTTGTTTTTAATTTTTCATTCATTTAGTTTGATGTTAGATTTGATTTTTGACACTGTCATGATTATAATGTTTCAGTCCTTTATTCATATTTTGTCACCTATACTCAAATGAAAAAATGTATTTTTTGTTCATTATTGAATGCTTTAGGTTTTTATGAATACCACATCTTCAAGTAAGATTTGACTTTGTGCTCTTCACAGTGTTATCTTCATAACTAGATTCTTTATTACCAAAAATCTGGTTGCTGATTGGGTATGCATATCAAAATGAAATCTGCAGAGAGGAAAGAAATTCTTTGACTTAGAGGGCTGTTGCTATTTTGATGTTATAGTGCCCCAATTTGGTTACATCAGAGCCCTTTCTTAAATTGTTCGACTTGGCTGCATCACAGATAAGGATGTTAAGCCATCAGTTTCACAATTCTTTCTCTTCAGTAGTCCACCTAGGTTTTGTGGCTGTTGTGGACATTTATATAAAATTTCTATTAATGCACAATTGTGCATGTTAAATCCTTTCCAAGAGTAGAATCGAGCTAACATTCCCATCTCACCACCTAAATATGTCTGGAAACTACCGAGTGATTTTGCCAAAATGCTTATTGCACTCCTGTGAAATAACTCTTTTTTTTTAATGAAGAAATCAGCTTTATTGTAAATGTAACATTCATACAATATCCTCTATTGTTAATTTCAATTTAAAATTTTCTACTGTTACCAGAGGTAATCGGTATATTTTGAAGAGTTGGAGTTTATTTGGCTTTCAACTAACATTGATAAACCGAAAGATGTAATCAAAGCTCAAGCAAAATACTGTGAAGAGTTGAATATGTGCTCATGTCCCTAGTTGACTGCATGATTCCATTGTATGATCTTTTTGAGACATAGGCAGAGGCGCTGAACAATAAATGCAGTTTTTCCAAACTGAACGTGTGCTGGTATTTTGTTTCGATTTTGAAACTATGAATGTTTTAGAAGCTGAAGTGAGACATCAGGTCACTCATCGCTTCACACTTTATAGACTTGGGTTTCAGTCAAGGTGACTCTTCACTGCATTACACCTCCCACGCATCTCTGGATACATACATCCGTAATACAACAGGTTCAGTATACTTTGTACTAAACGTGCCTATTTTTCAACAATGTGGCTTAAGCTAGACTACAAACAGATTTCAATGAGTAATACCCTTCCGAGAAGGAAGAATTGCAACCACTGGTTGGTTCAATAGAACATCAAAACACGGTTAGAAGGAAGCTGAGCACTGTATTTCCTTGTAGCTTAGATTTACACACTGTTGGCATTGACCAAATTGACCATTTAATCAACAAAACACTGAATTTGAAACAAACCTAAGCAGCTCGGTTAAGAGGCTTATGCATTCAATAAATATAGATTTGAAGAAAACCAATAGTGAACATTACAGTTTAATTTTTAATTAAAATGGAAGTTTTTTTAAATTTCTGGGAGATAATTTAAGCGATCCTTACCTTTTAATCAACATGGCATGTTACACAGTGCAATGTAATATATATATGCAGAAGTATTTTGCTATTGTGAAAGTGCCATTCTTAATTAAGTGTACTTAACCTGTCACTAAAGCATCATCCTGCCTTTTTAATGATAAGAAGCATGTAACATAATGGTATCAGAAGATTTTAAACTGGTGAAGCCAAAAATGGATTGTTGTGGAAACATGAGTTGTGGTATAGCATGCAGTTTTGTTTGAGGGTCCAAAACCTTTCTACTTTTTCACTTTGTATGTGTCACATTGGAGCTATACTTGTCTTCGAAAGCAAGCTGGAAAGCCACTTCCAGATCATCATAACTGTATTCTTCATAAAGAACACTCATGCCAATAATAACTCACCCACTTTCCTCTGGTCGGGCAGGCTTCCTCCTTATGGCATGGCAATGAAGATCTGTAACTCAAAGGGATCAATGTAATTGAAATGATACCTATTTGTAAGCTGGCTGACACGTTGATGTCAAAATGTACTCACTACCTTACTGACTCTACAAGTGAAGTGCCTTTTTCACTCTGGTTAGTTATTACTTGAACTACTGGTGATTTTAGTATATCTTGTGAGTAATAGAATTTTACGCGAAACCAACTTTGTCATTCAGGAGTTTGATAAGACTTCAAAATTCCTCAACTCCAAAGTGGGACAGCGACTGCAAAACAGTGCAATGTATTCAATGTCAAACCAAGATATTTAAGTTTTACAAAGGAGCCATATTATTAAACTCAAGTTTCAGTGATTAAGGCATTGTAATGTTGCTGTTTGTCAAAATGAGTGCAGAAGCTTGTGGAGGGTATGATGGATGAATAATTAAAAGAGACAATTTGGTATTATGTATTGCTGGCCTTTAATATAGAAAAAACATACAAGCATGAGTTGGGAGAAATAGTAGGAACTGCAGATGCTGGAGAATCTGAGATAACAAGG